GAGGTGAGTCCATTGTTCCCTTAGCCAAATGACCCATAAATTGTAACTTGTGTTGACTCACGTTATTATAGCGCCATTGATAACTAATGTCTCATCTACGAGTCGGTGGCACAGCGGTTATGAATCTCGCCGATCATGCACATGGTCCGGGGTTCGATCCCCCTACCGACACACATCTGATATCTATGGTTGGTCTGTAAAATTTGGGCTACCGATATCACATGCTGAAAATTCCATACCTGTACCAAAACAATACGGCGTGGAATCAAGCTTTAATCAAGTATATATATATATATATATTTGCCTTCATACCTGATTTGGTGTATCCTATTGGTTAGATCTCCTGACTAGAAATGCAGGCAACTTCATCCTGTAAGTCAGTCACTAAAGATGAAAGTAGAAAATCAAGTAGATAGAGGTTATTGTAATTCATTCAACTCGCATATATCAATATTTGAAATTCTAAAAGGTTTCCATGTCTCTTTTGAATCTGACGGTGATTTTGCCTATAATTTCAAAGTAAATGTCTTCGTGAATCTACCTAAATCAGTTGAAAAAGGAATTCTCAATGAAAATTGGAGAGCATTGGACAGTTGTTTTTGAATGTGTGTGTGTGTTTTAACTGGTCATGATTATTTCATTATCCCTGTTCTCATCAAACACACGTACTCACTGATAATTATCAATAATATTGTTGCTCTGTTTCTGTTCACTTCTTTGTGTGTGTGTTGCTGTGCTGTTTCACAACAGAGTATTTGCATTTATCACCGTCTAGGCAGAAATAAGATTCTCCTTTTTTTCTGATTAGACACTAACTAGTGACTGCAACACTGGGTGGTGGTGACACAGGTTTGAATCTCAGAAGGGACAAAAGTTCCTTCAAGATTGCAGACACACCTTGCTGAATGCCAGCAAGCACAAAACCTAGGTCATCAAAGGCTTCCTGTTGGTTGCCTCCAACCATCTACTAACAATAAGATGATTCTCTTTCCTATGCATCTGTAACAAGTATCTTATTAAAAAGAAGAGAAAAAGGGAATTGCAGTGTATGTATCTTTAAATATTCTGTAGATCTGTAGATGTTGTGGTTCATTGGTTTAAGCACTCAGCTTTCAGCCAATAGGTCTCGTTGGGTTGGAATTCCACTTCACTTGGGACAACCGATCGAGTAATATCATCAGTTTAAACACAGTTAGCATGTGTTCCTGTGGACTGATACTAGAAAATGGTGTTCCATGCAACAGAGTTCTGATACCTATGGATCTCAGGATTTCGCCATGAATAGACATCGGTTAGAGGACCATTGGAAAACCTGGAAGTACTGGACAGCTGTTTCGTTATAGTTTGGGTCTCTTCGGTAGTACGCACCCACTGAGGTTCGGACCCAGGACTGTGGGTTTACAAGGCGAGTTCATAGACTATTAGGCTACTGGGACCCGATCCAACGGTCTATGAACTCCAGATTCTGTCAAACCAACATTTGAATATCTATGGATCTGATACTGATTTTTTTAACGCCTCGAGGAGGAAGGGGGGGTGAATACTATACTATACTATTAGAATATCTGGATATAATGTCTGCGATTGTAATATGCGAAAATAAAGATAAGAGTATTAAACTTAAGGGTATCACTAATAATCAAGATATCGTTATCATTGCACTAGTATTATTGTTGTGATTATTATTATATTATTATCATTATTATTGTTCTTTAGGGTTCTGAGTGGAACACAGGGCCTCATTTTTTGCAATCTTCTCTAGCTGGTCCCACAATTACCCCATAGTCTCCCATCTCCTCTGTGTCACCCTCAGACGCCCCACGTTGTTTCATATTCAGGGCCTGGCGCGCGATGTCACTCAACAGTCTCCTCAGTGTGTGTCCGACCCATCTCAGTTTTCTATGGCCCCTTTGTTGGGCAATAGGTTCTCGGTTGCTTCTTTCTAAGAATTTCTTGTTGCTAATTCTTTTTGTTCATCTGATGTTCAATATGGAGCTAGCGAAAAAAGGCATTGATAAAAGTTTGCCACAGCCTGTTGAAAATGCTTTTCGTGATGCGCAGTGCAAGTTTCTGACCCAGATAGAAGCATTGATGTTGAAAATCCGAATTTTGTTCATTATTCTGAATACTGAAGACTTCCAAGCCGACTTCAGGGTGATGAAGATCTATCTTGCCTTTCTGATTCTGACTTTGACATCTTCATCCGTTCCGCCTGCTTGTGATTGAAGCGATGTTTCCTAGATAAGTGAAGGAGGTAACCTCTGTGAAATCTCTCCCTTTGGTGGTGATTGGTGCTGGTTGTTGTTGTTGTTGGTGGTGGTGGTGGTTGATTATCTTCACCACCTCCGTCTTCTCCATGTTCACCTGCAGCCCTGCTTTCGCTGCCAGCCTCTTCAGCCAGTTTGTTGGTTTTCTTCTGTAAATCTTCGAGTTTGTGTGACATTAGACATGTATCATCTGAGAAATCCAGATCTTCTAGAGTCTTCTTATCGATAATTCAACATATTCCTGTCTCTCTTCACACTGTGCACAGTTTGTTGCATAATTCAGTCCACCACAATTAAGATTATCATCGATGATAATAGACAAGCAGTCCTGTCTTACTCCTGTGTTCACTTTGAACGCCTCTCTGAGTTTTCTATTGTTGATCACCTGACACGTGGCATTGTCATATTACCAGCTGCTGAATGAGGTTGATAAAGACTTGGGCACTGCACGCCGTAGTGTTGAAGTAGTTTCCAATCTACTTCTCGGTCAACGCTGTCAAAGGCCTTTCCGAAGTCGATAAAACTGAGGCAAACCAAGATATCTGGGTGATTCATTTCGAATAGGGATTTATATGACATGACTAAATGTGGCTAGTAATAAATGAGTTAATATCTGTTCTGATGAAATCAATGAAATGTCATCCTGGTTTAGCAGTTACATTTCATAACTCATTTTTGATTTCGCAACCCCCTGGTTCAAATCTGTTAGGCTAATTTGTTTTCTAAAGAATTATTGTAACAGATCCTTTTCACTACATATGTATGAGGCATCTAACCAAACGCGATTTGGTCACGGTTTGACATCAGTTAGAGAACTATTGGAAATCCAGGGGCTAGTAGACTGCTGTTCGCTCCTAGTTTGGAATTTCCAGCAGTACGCACCCACCGACAGGGTTCGAACCTAGGACCTTCCGATCACATGGCGAGCTTGTAAACCATTCAGCCACACTGGAACCAGATCCAGCAGCCTATGAATTCCAACATCTACCATAGATGGTTGGAAATGATCTAGTGGTGGTCAAACCAAAACATGGCCTTATCAGTCAGTGAAATCCACAATATTTGTAACAACATAAGGCAAGACACGGATGCCAATGTATACTTTTCACTAATCAAATCGCTGTTTATATATCTACAGTTTATATATTCGTTAATCAGTCACTGAGCGTGTGATTTTGGTTTACATCAAACGACAAGAAATAGAATGTTCAAACATGCATAGTATTCTGTTGCCAATGCAATACTGAACTGTGGGAACATGTGAGAATAACATTCCGTTGACACACATTGTTTGTATCACACCTCCACCACACAGTTAGTTTGAGCCAGCCAGCCACCTGCGGGAGGTGTCGACTTCCTGACTGGTTGGTTTGCTCCATATGGTAAGAACCAATTAACGCTGGAGACGATTGGTGGTGATATGGCTCAAAATCCTCGTTCTCAATAGTAGCAGGCGCAAATGCATTCACTCACTCTTTTGTGATTTATCATATCCAATAAAACTGTTTTGTCCTTCCATATTACTATTCTTTTTACCTCATATTTCTGTTTATTATCTCTCTTTTGATGAGTCTGTCTTCTCTTGCTTTGTGTGCTACCTTGTGGGAGTGTGGCAACTCGAACTGCTGCACATCTGTGCAAAGTTCTATGCTGAAACCAGTTAGTCAGTCACTTCTGCTGAAACGCCATGCATATATATATATATATATCTTGCGCAGCTACCAGTCAGTGTCATAGGCGACCCTGCTGGTCATGACTTCTCACTGGAACTGCAGACAACTGCATACCTGTAATCAGTCACTAATGAGCATCCGATTAATCAACAAGTGTACGCCTGTTGGTTCTCAGGGATTTGATGGTTGGCTACAAGTTTGATCAAGAGCTGGCATTAGTTAGTACTCCTTGGTTTTCTTTTCTAAAAGTTAGTCGTCAAGCTGATGTCATCTCACTATCAAATCTGTAAGGAATCATCAAATCCCCCCCTCCTGCAAACCAACACTTAACAGAAGCACAGTTTTCCATCAGATAGGTAAAAAGCTAAAGAAATACGTCTTAATACGAATAAGATTATTTGCATCCACTTCAACTGTACTGCATTGGGTAATGACAGCTTTATCCTAATCATCATTGCGTATCTTTAAATTGAGTTTAATCATATCTAATCAATAAATAGTCTTCAAGAGTTGTTTTGTAAGGATTAGATTTGTTTTTACAAGTTTGACCACGGATTGATATCAGTTAAAGAACAATTGGAGACCAACTCTTGGAAATTAATCTAACGACCGCTAGTGACTTGCTACAGGATGGAGTTTCCTGGAGTTAGTTCTAGTGAGAAGTCGTGACCAGTGAGGTATATCCAGTCGGAAGTGAGGATGGATTTCCCGCCGATGACATTGGTTGGTGCCAGTCACACTAAATCACGAATTGGTAGAAGTTAGAATTCATGGGCTGGCCACTGAATTGGCTCCCAGTGGCTGAATGGTCTACGAGCTTGCCGTGTAACCGGAAGGTTCTCGGTCCGAACCCTGTCAGTGGGTGGGTACTGATGAAGAATCCCGAACTAGGACGAAACAGCTGTCCAGTACTCCAGTGGTTGTTTTCAATGGTTTTCTAACTTACATCAATCTGTGGTCAAACTCGAAAAAACAATAAATAGTTTTTTTTTTTCAATTATCAATACACTTTTTTCTAAAATTAATTGTAAACCTTTTCTTGTTTATCTTTCTTTTGTAGATTTTTACTCGCCAGTTTCTATACAGAATATGATCCTTTGCATTGTCTTGTCAATGCCTCTTCAATGATTATATTAGCTGTACTGCCAAAACTTCCACAATTCTATAGGGTTCGTTTCTTTGGTATTAATCGTTGGTAATCGTTGTAGTTGTAGTAGTTGTTGTAGTAGGGGATTAGTAGCACTTTTATTGTCTTGTTTGTTTATCTGCCTGTTTGTTTTTTTTCTGTTTTTTAGTTGTTATTTCTTATTTGCTATTATTCCTAACATTTTTATGTGGATGAATGGATGTATAGTGTCTTTCTTGTATTCCAATTTGTATTATATCATAGTTGGAATTTATGAAAAGGTCCCCCCCCCCACTAAACTGACATTTTGTAGACCAACGTGTATATTCTGCTGTGTACCAGTCCTCGATCTCTTTGTGATATATTGTATTCAAACACCTCTTTTTTTTAAAAAAAAAAGCAGACTATTTTTAATGCTTACAAGTGGATTCTGGATGTGTGTGTGTGTAACATGGGGTTGTTTTTATTGTCAAAATTACCTCTTTTTTTAAAGTCTCTTTGAAAAGAGCGCGCGAATTTTATACACATATATACAAACACCTCTGATTAAATACAATTGTGTGATTCTTTTTTAATATTACAGTGTTGTTGTTGGTTGGTTTGAAATTTATTCATTGATTGATTTTATGAGTTTACAAGGTGTGTTTTCTCATTCAGCAGTTATGTACTCTAAAGTTGGTGTGTGTGTGAATAGTTATTAAGACTCAAAGAAGAGGAAAATAAGTGGTTAAGGCAATACCGTGAAATACTGCCACCCCCCTGGTTAGTATTAGGTATATTAAGTCTCGTAGAGATGGAGCTGATTGAAGACTTCCAGTCGGTTTCAGTAGATCAATGGCATTCAAAACCCATAAATTATGTCTGTTGAAGGATCCTGTGAAACTGATTAAACAAAATAATTTAGTTTATGTAATGCCCTTCAATGATTATAAGGTCAAAGGAGTATAAGAACAGGATCAATCAGACTAAAGTATCACAAAACCCTAGATTATTTTGGTCTAGTTGTGTTCTCTCTGAGCTCGATGGTTGGTTCATTTGAGTTGAGAAGCTTGCATTGTCCTACTAGGAGACAACATTCTCAGCGCATACCTCAACTTTTGGAATTCGTCTCATTTCTTTGGCGGCAACCTGAGTAGCCTCCTACATTGTATGAAAATTCCATGTCCCAATGTTGTTATTTTCACTTTCATTGAAAGAAAACATATCGTCTGACAGGCCTTCAGCAGCCCGCGTTATTTTGTCTCTCTGATCCTAGCGAAGAATAAGTTTGTTTCTTTAAAAATATTTTTGTTGCGCTTTGAAGTTTCTGTAACGATTGGATTGATTTCCTGAGGTAGGGTCGTCAGCCCCACGCTTCCAACCTTCCCTCCTTTCCCGGGCTTAGGACCGGCTAGAAAACTAGTCTGGAAATCATTTGCACTCAGCATAAAGAACAAAATTCGGATTCCCAGCACCAAGGCACTGCACGAAACGAAAAGCAATCCCAACAACTAGCTGCAGACTTTTATCAACAACTGTCTTCGCTCCATACTGAAGGTAGGATGACTGGATAGAAAGAATTAGCAACAATTCTGGGAATGAACCAACCAACAACCTTTTGCTTAATAAATGTGCCGGAAAAAACGGAGATGGATCGAACAGACGTTGTGGAGGCCGCCGAATGACATCGCACAGCAGGCAGTCACTGTAGCGAGTGGAGTCCTAAAGGAGAACGGCGAGTAGGGCGTCCGAGAATGACATGCAGGAGATGAAATCTTATGGGTAATCGTGAAGCTAGCTTAGCAGGGCCGCAAATAATAGGACAAAGTGGAGATGTGCTGTTCCACTAGGAACCTAAGTTAACAATGATAATAATACATTTTGAAATTCTTCATGATTTTATTAGTTATATCTACTAGGTAACCTTGTATTTGTATTGATTGTTTCCTTGGCCTGAAAATCATGAACACAGCAGCCAATGGCCTTCAATGTTATCAGGAGAGATGACTCATGAACTCGTGGAGACTTTTAAAAGCTTACTGCAATTTGAAGTATGCACTAAAGATGTCTACTAAGACGACAATGAAAACTTCGCAACTATACCAAAATTATCCACCTGAGGGACAAATCTCCACTATATCAAAATCTAGATAAGAAATCTAGAAAATAACTCAACTACAGCACTGTATGCAGTTGCACACATCCTATAAAATTGGGATGGAATAAGATGAGTCTTAAAATCTGGTGTGACAGAGTGGAGGGTAGGGAATGTTAACAGAAGCTTTGTGTATTGAATCGACTAGAAATATGTACGGCAAGAATAATTCAGCACCTGTCCCAGATATTTGGGGAATTCTACTACATCTACGACGAATAGGAAGGATGAAAGAGAAACGTAAAATTCAAGTGTAATTACGACGGATTTGATTGTGAACAGTAATAAATCGTGTTCAAAACGTCATCCAGCAAATAATAATACTGTCACTGTATGTTATATGTCCAATAAAAAAGTTAATGTGGAATTAACATACTACCACAGTGCCCAAATTTAGGTATATATTAAAGTGCAAATGGGTCGCGGGTTCGAGTCCCGCTCCACCTACTTCAGCCTGGACAACTGAATAGTATCTCAGGCTCTTAACCTGATACATGAAAGATCTGTCCCAGGTAATTGAGTTCTCGAATGAGAGTCAGTCCTCATCTTCCAGATGGTAGAGCGTCTGACTAGTTGTTCGGAGGTCTATGACTTGAATCCCCCCACCCGACTGCAGATCTTCATTTCATCTTCACAAACATCACCTAGTTACATCAGTATAAGTCTACCAACTCAAGGTTATGTCAGACAGTCTCACTATCTGGTATGGTTTAATCGATTTAATCACTATTCTCTCAATGCCCTTCTTCAGTGTGTCCTTCCATATGACGGTGAGAAATGTAATATTACAATTTAGACGATGGAATATATTGATAGTGATTGTATCTGAACAGTTTTGATTTTGAGCTCTACATGTCATTCAAATTTTCCTAACATTGAGAAGTCATATGAGATTCGGTTTGGCAGCACTCATTTAAGCCTCTGTACCACCATGTCTAGTGGTTGTGTGTTGTTGGCATGAGTTGCGATTTCTGAGTTCTTCTCTCTGAGATGGTCATTTTTTAAGGATCAGTTATTCTAGACTTGACTAAATTTTTGTATTCCGGTAACTTAACTGACATCAGGTCGATTCACAGTTATTGCAAAATATTTTTAAATTAGAATACTTACTGTCTAATCGGTTCGCCTCTTTTAGCCTACATAGTTTGTCCGTAAACAAGTGTCTAGATCTGTGATAGTTTCTGTTCACTACATTTGGAATAGCTTTATTCATTGCGGCGTATAGAAACAGCTCCACAGGAGAAGGTATTATGATGGTTACTTTTCGTAGGTGTTTCGCAGAAGTAACCATTTTCTTTGTGCGCTTTTAGCAGATGAGGGAGTGTTAACATTTGCGGAAAGTGGGACGTATCCTAACGCAAGTTCTTATACCCACAACTGCTACAGTATTTGTTCTGCATAGACCAAAGCAGAATCAAAACACCAAATTGACGATTCAGAATAGGAAATGTATTTCGAGACTGAAATTGTACTGTAATGCTGATTGCTTAACTAACTAGGGATCGTGCACGAACGTAACACGATGGCGCACCAAATGGCATGGATGCCTTCAGCTAAACGAGAAGAAACCAGTCTATCAAGCTAGTTTATTCTATGATATACATGTCAAACTAATTTTCATTACGGTTGTTAAGATCCTGAGACTACATTTTAAGTGTTTGATAGGTTTGTAAACGGTTGAGTATACTAAAACTCCATGAATGATGTCCAGGTCACAGAACTGACACTAGCAGATTCTTCGTGAACTGTAGAGTCTGCAGAATTCGATTCTTTCACTAAATATATGCCTGAGAGTCAGTCGTGAACAAAACGGCAAATAAATACACAGAATGAACTATCTACAGCTCTGACAGTACTGTGCACTGATCTTCATTGTGTAAGTAGACCGGAAGAACACTGTCAGGTGCCATCACCACTCCGCGCTCCATCAAGTTGTGTTCGGTTGTCTGTACCTTATCTCTAGTTTGCTAAGTATGCATCTCAGCCTGACAGCATCAATTGGATTATTTGAAATTAGTTTGCTAAGTATTTTCGCACTACGCTGCGCAAGTACCACTGGGTTGGTGGCGGATGTTCGTGTGGTAGCCTAGGGAATGTGATGGCTAGTGGATGAAAAAGGAATTAAGAGGGTGGGTAAAAAAACAAATGTTAGGAATAGAGTGGGAGAAATTAATGTAAGATAGTGGGAGCACACAAATAGCAAAAAGAAAAGAACTATACTGATGGGAATACAGATGAGAAATTACCATAGGATAGTGACGTTGTTAGTACCATTATAGCCTCCTAGAACTTCTTCTAATGTAAGAAAACCTTTCATTTCTACGGAATACTAAGGCCTTCTCTTCAGGCTATCAGTTGATCGATTAGTGGTGAAGTTGGCAGGCTATTTCATAAGTGACACCGAAAGGAAAAGAAACTGAACAGCAAATTCATCGCTTCCCTTTGATGAGCAGTTCTGCTCCAGTGCCCCCAATCGATACCGAGTGGTTCTTGTGATAATATCTCAGTCTGGGTGGTCTGGGTCCTTCACTATGTTCCATGCCGGAATTAAGTTGTTTTTATTTCTGTAGTAGCTGAGAGACCTCAAATCCAGATATGTGTAATTGACTGACATACGTTTGCGATTCGGCCCAATAGTGGTTGTAGTTGCTCTCTGTCTTCGTACTCCAACTCATCGATCCTTTATTTTCGAAATGTGCTACAGTGATGACAGGCACTTCTAAATACGGCAGTACATCAGCATCGTACAACTTCATGAAAGACCAGGTGTTGATTCCCTAGCATCCTGTAAGCGTAGTACAGAACTTTGTTGGCTATAGCTGCGTCTTCGGAATAGTTGGCGCTTGTATCCACACTCGCCATCAACAGTACCTGAGATTGAACTCCTATCGGAGAGGTTTGTTTCACATACACGGAAGAGTTGTCTTTGTGCTACTTATGTTCGGATGAACATGATTCAACAATTAAAGATGTCAATGGACGTGAACATTGAACGTTTGTTTATTGGAACTGGCAGCCAATGGTGGGCATTTCGAAGGCGCGAATGGTTCGATCGCTTGCAAGTTGAATGAAGACTTGGACAAATACGAATAAAAGTACTTTATAACTTCATTTGTACTTAACATTTGTTTGTAGACTTTGTAGTTGTCTTCACTTTAATTGCCAAACAATATAATTTCGTTCAAGGAATACTGGTGTTTTGGATTTAAAGTTGAAAGCAATACATAGTATTTATCGGTTCAATCGCCTACGTCTTCATTACAATAGGAAATTAGGGCTAAGTTCCTTGACAAAAGACAAAACACGTAATACTCGATGGTAGGATCCTGTATTTTGCAAAATGACAGAAAGTGATGGCTTAATATAAAAACCATACACTGAAGCCTCAATCTGGTTAAGTTATTCAAATTCTGCTTCTTTCATCTTCATTTAATGCTTTCTGTATTGTTTTACAATGATCCTCATTT